AAAAAAAAAAAAAAAAAAAAGACGTGCATATAAACTATTGACAAGTTTTTTTTAAGATACAAACATTGAAAATAAAAGGACAGAAAAATAACTCCTCTATATTATTACATGTAAATAACCACTAAAGGAACAATGAGGTGCTAAACTAGTAACAGATTCTAAGTCAAAAAGTGATAAAAGTTAAAACAATGAGGTAAAGATTACATATTGGTAAGAGGGTCATACACATCAAAGAACAGTTTGCATATACATGAAGCATACACTGACAGAACTCAAGGGCATAAGAGATATCCACAGAAATAGTTGGAGACCTGAGTATCACAATTTTTATAATGAATAAAGAATCTAGACAAAGATCATTAAGAACTGAATAACACGGTAAGCCACATAAATATCCAGCAAAAGTTAAAACCTATTCTTAATTGCACATGGAATATTCCCTTGAGAAACCTCTCAATAAAGAAAAGTCCAGGACTCAAATAACAAAACAAAAAAATCCCACTTCATAAATCCTTCTGTGATCTATCATGCCTTGGTACCCAAGATAGTATAGGAAAAGAAAAGTACATACCAATATCATGTATTAATCAAGCTACAACAAGCTTCAATAATATGTTATCTAAATGAATCCACAGCATAGCAAAAGATTTATCCACAACACTGGAACTTATCCATGAAATGTAAGGGTAAATCAATATAAGAAAATCAACACAATACTCCATGCATATAAATAGAACAAAGGGGGGAAATATGGTCACCTCAATTGATTCAGAAAAAGCATTAGACAAAATTCAACACCTTTCTATAATAAAAATTCTTAAACTAGGGAGAGCTTATTCAACGTAAGAAAGAATATTTATGAAAGTCTCACAGGTAACATATTCAATGGTGAGCTTAAAGCTTTCCAGTTAAAATCAGGGCTAAGACAAAGATAACCATTACTATTTAACATTATACTATTATAGAAAACAAGCTATAACAATTAAGAGAAAGAAATATAGGTATCCAAACTGGAACGTAAACAAGTAAAACAAGTTCCTTTATATAGAAAATCCCAAAGAACACAAATGAACATACACACACAATTTAATAAAAAATTCAACAAGATGTACTAGATCAACACCTAACAGTCAATTGCACTGTACACACCAAACAATTAAAAGCCTGAAAAATTAAATAAACAGTTCTGTTGCAAAATGTAAAATTTAGTCAAGAAAAGTGAAAAATTTAAACAAAGAAAACGCCATTGAAAGAAATTAAAAGACAACCTCAATAAAACAGAAAAACATCTCTTGTTTTTACCCAAAGGGATCTACAAATACAAAATCTAATAGATAGATTTGATTATGATTATAACTACAGACACTATCAAAATCTTATCAGTCTTTTTATAAAAATGGAAAGCTCAAATTCAGAAGAAATTATAAGGGGCCTAAATAGCCAAATATTGAAAATAAATAAATGAAAGAACAAAATTGGAAAACTCTTATGTCCCAATTTGAAAGCTTTTAAAGCTATGTGCCAAGTCACTGTTGGTCAGAGACTTACAGCTGAGTACAACTCACAGCTGATATTCTAAGGCTAGTGGCCTCTTGCTACCTTGGTGTCTTAAGACTCAGAAACTGAACCAGACAAGAAAAAAGATTTTTAAACTTAAAAAGAAAATGCCTAAGAACTTAGATCATAAGTAATTAAAGAGTAACTGGTGTGAGAAGGGCGCATGGGAAGTAACAGGTAAATGTATGTTACAGGGTGTCCTGAGGGAATAAAAATTTAGTTCAGGAACTTGATAGGGTAGTTATACAACAATGTGTCACTGACTTGTATACTTTAAAAAAGCTTAGTTTGTTATGTGAATTTCATCTCAATTTTTAAAATGTCTATATTTTTCTATCTCCTGAACTAAATTATCTTATCCACATCTTCCCATATATATATATATGTTAAAGATTTTATTATTTATGCATACAAGAACTGGGGTACAGGCCAGAGGTATGGAGGGGGGGTGAGATTTATCAGACACAGAGTTGGAACAGGCAGATAGATAGAAATACACTGCTGGGGGGAGCAGTGGGAAGACAGGAGAGATCTGTCTGCTGCACCATGTGGGTCAGCTCCCTGGCTGGGGATTGAACTGGTGCTGCAGTGGCTGCCAAAAGCTTCATCGTGCTGAGCTTTAACCCTTTGCACCACCTTCCCATCATATTTTTCAGGTACAGGTTTTTATTTGTCTCAATTTAAGTATTGTGGAACAAAGGTAGAAACTTGAAAGGCTGAAAAAGCATGTGTCTTTTCCCTTTGCTCCACTTATATCTTCAAATGCTATAGATGTTCCTTCCCAATTACTCTCTATTTTTCAAGGTATGAGCTCGTGACGAACTCAATGTAAAACTGTCCTTGGGAATCTTTGTTGGGTTCTGAGTCAATTACAATATCCATTCTAACATCATGCATGCAATATTAAATTTATATTTATATTTTAGAGGCATCAACATATGGCCATGGCTAAAATTTCTATTTTTTCTCTCTCGCCCAAAATCCTGGGCAAAGGGACAAAAATCCTTATAGCTTTCATTGGCTGAGAGGCTGAGATGCAGAGATTTCCTTTTTCACACATAACTTAGCTTTTTCACAAAGGAAATTCCAGTTTCCTTCTCTAATGAGTTGTAAATTCTTTTGTCTTTGCAAGGACAATAGAATTCTAACCTTGTATCTGGTGTAAAATCCCAACAGATTGTTTTAGCCTCAAGTTAGTTTTTTGCCTTTGATCAAGGGGTTACCCTCTCTTTGAAGCTTAAATAATAAGTATTGGAAAAACTTACTATATTCCACATTCTAAACTGTTGGACTATTGGTCAGAGGAGGCCCTCCCAGCAGGGATTAGCCCATTTGATTACCCAAAGCCTTTCAATTTAACTTTTAAGATTAGGGTACTCTTGTAGGGTGTATAACTGATAGACATTTGATAAGCCAATGAGAATCCAAACCACTGAAAAGAGTCTGAAGATATTCATAGAACTACTAATACACAATTTACTCAAATATTTTCCAAGTTGTAAGCATAGTGTTAGGGAGCCCAGTCTAGTGAAAGAAACAGCTTTGTGAATAACAAGATGGCCAGATGACTATGAAAATGGCATTGGCATAAATATAGATTAAAAAAGTTGGTTGAAAATTTGTAAGGGGGAAATAATCTACTGTCTTTTCACTGCGCTAATCTGCTAATCTTGAGCATCCAAGTGCCTACAAGTGACTACAACCAGGAGATACAAAACTATGTTTCCAGAATATGAGATTAGAACAAGAGATAGTTAAAAAAAGAATCTGGGGCCCTCCCTGGTGGCGCAGCGGGTTAAAGCACAGCACTGAGAATCTGAAGCCACTTCCGCATGAGTTCGATTCCCGCCTGCCGCCTGCCCCGGAGGAGACCACATGGCGAGCCAGACCTCTCCTGACCCGCCCGCTGCTCCCCTCAGCAGTGTACTTCGTCAATCTGCCTGTTCTGCTCCCCACTCTGTCTCTGGTGAAGCCTCTCACCGTCCCTGAGCCTCTGGCCTGTACCCCAGTTCTGTATGAATAAATAAATAAACCTTTAAAAAAAAAAAAAAAAAGAATCTGGAATTAAAAGGTTCAAGAGTATTAACTAAAGAAAATTAATAAGGAATAAATACCACTGAGATAATTTTTTAAATACATTTTCTCCACCCCCGCCCCCCCCCAAATCATCACACACATCAATTACAGTAGCCTTCTTTCTGAGTAAAAGCAGATACTCAAATTACCTGGACTCCAAAGAGGTAGTCTAGCTCTTAATTAATACTTTTTTTAAAAAGAATTATTTATGTAAAAATAAACTTTTGTAAAATAAAAAATAAATAAAGATTTATTTATTTGTACATACAGAACTGGGGTACAGGGCAGAGGCTGTGGGGTGGCGAGAGGCTTCACCAGAGACAGTGGGGAGCAGAACAGGCAGATCGACAAAGTACACTGCTGAGGGGAGCAGCGGGCGGGTAAGGAGAGGTCTGCCACGCCATGGGGTCACCTCCGGCGCAGGCGGGGATCGAACTCTCATGCGGAAGTGGCCTTATCTTCTCAGTGCTGTGCTTTAACCCCCTGCACCACCAGGGAGGGCCTTAATTAATACTCTTGATAATAGTGAATGGGGAATTTCTGTATTTAACTTATCTATATTCCTGAAAGCTAAGATAGATGTAGCTGTTTTGGCTTCAATTTATGATGCTGTGAGAATGGAAGTACAAATATTTTTTATGATAACTGCTGTATATAATTTTTATTCGATATAATAGGTACATAGATGTAGCAAAATTGTCCAATACAAAGAGTTAATATTAACAGCTAAATTTTCTCCATAAATTTCAACCTCATTTTAACCACTAGAGGGCTACCTTGTCATGTGATTTCTGATCCCTTACCCACTCAATTTTAGAAAGACCAGTGTCAGACAAAACAACTAGGTTTAGTTTGCAGTTATTTCTCATTTAAATACTTATCAATAAATAGTTATTAGATCACTTTATAGATGACAGGACTTTGTGGACAGGAAAAATGTGCTAATATACTGACAGGAACTGTTACCGTCCTAGTATGCTAGGCAAAAAAGTATGATTGATAAAGTCTAAGCCTGAAATAAAAATCAAGTTATTTTACACTTCTGGGTCAGCTTTATATTATTGAGGATCTTACGTTTTAAGTGTTCCAGATGTCATAAGTTCAGTCACCAAAACGATACATTTCTTTCCTTTTACTGTAGATTCCCAAGAATCATAGAAACGAACAATATTGGGATGTTGAAGACCCTTTAACATTTCAGCCTCTTCTTTAAATCTTTGCCGCTCAGATTTTGTTAACTTTCGATCCTAAAATAAAACACAAAAGGAAGACGTGATTTAAATGATTAAAACCATACAAATCACAGTTATATCGGGCTACACATATTTAAAAAACAAGAATAATGTAACACTAATTTACTACTAAAAGTAAAATAATCTTTCACTATTGGAACAGCTAATGTGTGTGTTTAAAAAAATCCCTGGGTTACAAAATCATACCTGAGATTATCTCCCTATCTTTATTGCTAATATTTATCTGAGATACAGTTTTGTATGTACAGCTAACTTTCCACATTCAAGTCATAGATTGCTAAAAACATGCAATTAATGACATGAATCAATATGGGTTTTGGAGGTGGAAAGATTTAAAGGTAAAAGTTTCAGTTCTGTCTGTCCTTCCATTAGAACTTCCTTTATGAATACGTGTATCTTTACCTCATAGGATTATAGTAAGTTATTAAAATAACTTACTAGGTTTATATGAGATGAAGTGTGTAAAAGTACTTAGAATTTGTTGTTCTTCCCTTGGCAATGTGCCTATATTTTAAATATGTCTGACAAGATTAGAAAGGAAACCATCTCTACCATATTTATATTCTGTCAAAGCAAGAAATACATATTTCAATGAAGTATTTCAGGCATATGATAAAGTAATGTACTCCTCATATAGTTAATAATGCTATAATCTAAAACTCCGTAAGTAATTAATTGTCCCTCCCATCTGATAATTCCAATTGCTCTTAGAGTAAATGGGTATAATCCCTTTGAAGAGACATTTATTGATACTTATGAAAATTGAAGATGCCTTTGTTCTATAACCTAACACTACTATCAGCTGCCATTTGTGTCCTAATGAGTGTGCTTAAAATATTTTTTGTCCATTTGAAGGCAGTAAAAGTTAACGATTACAAATGAATTAAAATGAAATGGTTATCGAATTTTTTAATTTGTGATAAATATATAATGATATAACGTGCATTACTAAGGTGTCTTTATAACAATTGAAAGATCTTCTAGCTATCATAATTTCAAAGTAACAAATAGTATGAAAGACGATGTGAGATAGCTGCAACTATTGTATGTGATACAGAAATAAGTCTGCTGGTGATAAGAATTATAGGTATGCTTAATGCTATTAGGCGTATAAATTCATTGTTCAATTTAAAGCTAATAAAAATATTTTCACACTAGTTCACAAACCTTACTTACTTAAGAAATCTGAGGATCCCAAGTTAATAATCTTTAGTCTGAAGTTAATAATCTCTAGTCTGAGAGACTCTTAAGAGTCCAAAAAGATTAACATTGAAATTCATTTCAGTATTGTAGTAGCAGAAAATGAAAACAGACTAAAGACATCAGTAGAAGTGTATAGATAAACCGTAATATATTCAGAGAATGGCTAACAGCACAGCAGTAATAATAAATTAGGCTAAATTACAATAATATGGTGGCTATCTTGTAATGTTCCCTGTATACCATTATGGGTGATCTTAAACAGTGCAAAAAGCAAGTTTCCAAAGGGTACATGTATTGACATCATTTAAAAAATTTTTAACATTTCATGTAAGAGCAAACAACCATATGGTAGTAGTATGTAAATTCAGGGTATTGGTTCTTCAATAATAAGGAGTAGGAGTGGGAAGGACGCTGATATTATCAAACATTAACTTCTGTCAATTTAACGAGTATAAAAAATCATGTGTTGTTAATGCTTTATTATTTTAGCATCAATAATAAGTTATGAATAACTTGTTTAAGTAAAAAATAAACTTTTTCTGTTTTTTTTGCAGGCTACTTGAGGTTCATATTCTGCCGGAAGTGGGGTTCAGGGAGATAATAGGATCAAAACAGGTGGAAAGAGCACACGGCACTTTGGTGATGGCAACATGGGTGACCTGGTGGTGGGAAGTCCATGGGGGTTACAACCAAGATGAAAAAGCATACACTGTACAGAAATGGAGAATGATGTTAAAAAAAAATGTTAAAAAATTACTTTGAGCTCAATTCAATATACTACTTTTACGTGAGTTACAGGGGATTTAATTTTGCATATTGTTTTGGCTGCTGACATTCTACACATGATGGTGGCTGCAATACAGAATAATATGGTTATCTTAAACTGTGATTTGACTGTTGGAATATCATCAGTTGGTATATCCTAGGGATATTACTACTCTAGGTTAAGAGTACATGTAGGTTATCAGTTCAAATTTGAATCTCAGACATTTGTGAATACAGATTTTTTTTATTTTATGAATTTTCAAGGTAATTTTTTTTTCCAGCTGATCTGCTGAAACTTCTTTCCTATCTGAAAAATGAATTTTTCTCTAGTATGTCCTTTCAGTAACTTTTCAAGGATCAAGGATTATTGGGTCTTGGTTCTATATCTGCTTGGGCTTAACATTTCACTTAGCCTGAGATAAGATAGCAAAACCATACTTCTTAGTTGCTATGATTTTGCAAGTTGCTCTTAGTATTTGAATTGTGTTAGACACCAAATTTAAAGTTTTTATCTTTTTTTTTTTAAGTAATGGGAACTTCTTTCATCTGTGGGGAAATGCTAACTGCTTGTTAAGGATATATACACACTCTTTCTGGAAGCATATTTGTGGATTCATTCACAGGGCCACTGAGCATGTCATTATGGTAGGTTGTCGGATGCTAATGATAAAACACTGAAAAAGTGTTTTGTCTCTGCTTTTTAAACAAACATGGAAGACTTAATTTTACGGGACTAATAAGACTCAGTATAATATTACTTGTGCTTGAGTGCTATGAAAGAGAGTATAGTATAGTAGTGTATGGGTCCTCACAGGTCACAGTGACTTTTATCTTTAAGACCATAAAAAGCTATATAAAGAGTTTTAAACAGGGTTATGACAAACAATATTTAATTGAGTGTAAGGTTTTAATTGTCTGAAATGTTCCATTTTCAGAGATGTTAAAAATGTGGAAAAATAGTATTTCTAAGAGCTAAGTATGTATACCTTGAGAATGAATTGGTATTAGGGCTTTGGCAGTGTATAGTCAAGACTGTGTGTGTGTTCTTTACTCTTTACAAGGGTAAAGATTTGGTTGTTCTGAAATGACTTAGTGGTTATTGGATGAATCAAGCAGAGAGTGTGATGACTTGGAAAATAGATGGTAGTAATAGGGAAAGATATAATTTTCAGCAGGATTTACAGTAAGCTTCATGCATTTTAAAACATCATGCAAACCTCAAATTGTAGATAGAGATATGACAGAAACAATTTTAAGTAGATTTTAATTATAATTAAATTTAAATAACAATGTAGATTGCTTTAGTTCATATCTAGTGGCATTTTCTGGTTAAAGTTATAGCTCAGTTAAAAAAAAAACAAAACTTCATAGTGGAAGGTTCACTGTATCTCTTAAACTATGTAAGGATTTGGGGAAAGCCCAATACAGAAAATTATTCAAACTTAACACTAACTTCCTAGTTGTGCAAAACTGATTACATTTATATATTTAATCTACTATTAAGAAATACTGTCTTATCCTTTACAACAAATATTCCAAGTTTCAGCTACTGAGGTCTTACTTTTTAAAATAGATTTGTTTTATTTGTTTACTTATTTATTTTAAAGATTTATTTATGCATACAGAAATGGGGTACAGCCAGAGGTACAGGGGCAGCAAGACGATTCACCAGAAACAGTGAGGAGCAAAACAGGCAGATCAACAAAGTATATTGCTGAGGGGAACAGTGAGTGTGCAGGAGAGGTCTGTTACACCATGGGGATCACCTCTGGGGCTAGGGATGGAACTTGCACTGAAACCGCTGCAGCTGGCTAGGTTTGCCTTAGCTTCCCAGTGCAGCACTCCAAACTACTGTACTACCAGGGTGGGCTCAAAGATTTGTTTACTTGTGCACAGAAGAACTGGGGTACAGGCCAGAATTGCGGGGAGTGGGTATATGAGAGAATTCACCGGAGACAGTGGAGAACAAAACAGGGAGATCAACTGAAACACACTACTTAGGGGAGTAGCAGGTGGGGCAGGAGAGGTCTGCTGCGCTTTGTGGATCACCTCCCTGGCCAGGGATCAAACTCATGCTACAGTGGCTAAAGACAGCTTCATAGTGCTGAACTCTATGTATTTCAGGTAGACCGTTAGCAATTTTTATAGATTCTTGTAGTCTTAGGTATTTAAAGTGTTCTGTGACTTGGGGTCTCCCTGGTGGCTCAGGGATAAGTCTCAGCACTATGAAAAACTATCATGAATCACTGCAGTATGAGTTCAATCCCCAGCCAGGGACTAACCCATATGGTGAGATCTCTCCTATCTTCCCGACTGCTCCCCCTCAGTAGTGTATTTCAGTGGATCTACCTGAGGAGTGTGTGTGTATATAAACTGTGTACTATTACTTAGTGGTAGGTATAATATCAATTCTCATGGTTCAAGTGATTACACTGTCTTCTGATTGAGACCAAGGTAACTTCACAAATTTTTAAAAACCTAAGATTTCTTAATTAAAATATAATAAGCTGCCAAATACTTTTTTACAGCAAAGTAAAAATAGAGAGAAAAAACCGGACAGATCCTTTTACCTCATCAAAAATAACTAGTTTTCCTTGAGAATATACTGACTTTTTAAAAATTCTATGGAAATATTACCTTTTAATTTTGAGAAGTTATATAAACTATACATAGAAGTTATTTTACATATCTATTGTAGATTTTAATAATCCCTGAAAGGTATTGACAATTTATATGAAGGGGTCTGAAACCCTTTCTTAAATCCTTAACATTTTAGAAATATAGTTGCATGAGGATAGGTTATCAAATAAGTAGGGGGGAAACCCAAACAAATCATTTGATGCTTCCTTCAAATAATTTGGCAGTTTTTTTCTTTATGTAACAAAGTCGTCTACTTTTTTTAATCTAGCAACATTTCATAAGTTAACTCAAGAAAACTCCATTATTTTAGCAACCCCTCCCCCGAAGATTTTAAGACAAGAGTAAGACTAGAAAACTAGGGATTTTAAATTAATACTTGCCAAGCATTTGTTATTTACTAGCTGGTTAATTTAATTGTTTTCATTAATTCTCAGAAAAACCCTGTGAAGTATTATTAGGTAAACAGACCAAGAAAAATCTGGTATGTCCCTCAAATTCACACAAAAAGCAGAACCAAGAACTGAACTAACCAAAACTTCATGCTTCATTCAGTATACTATACAAAGATATCTTTAAATTTTTAAGCTTCTCAAGAAAGTTCTGTTGATTTTTCTGTTAACTGGGAAAGGCTGAAAAGGACTGAGTACATTACTAAATGTATAGCTGAAGATAAAATAAGAGACCGAGACCTGTATATATTGTTTGAATATTACCAACTGTTAAATTGCCATGAAGACAAAAATATGAAGTACTCAATGAAATTCAGAGCAAATAAACCACTATTGCTTTTTTGGTAGCTTTTCTCTAGCATTACCAACTTGGATATCCCTTGGGGCTTGATACACTATCCCAACTGCAGCATTCATTGCGCCAGTGTAAAGGAGAGCTGATGCAGCTAACCCACTCCATTCATTTCATTCATTTCTCTCCACCTACATAAAATTGTTCTGACAGGCTAAATGAACAAAACTAAAGATCACTATCACAAGACCTAGCATAACATGCACAGTTCCAGACTGTTAGGGTTGGAGGTGGGGAGGCAGGCAACAACTATAACAATTGTTCAGCTCAGTACCATCCAAATTCACAATGTCCAGTAGATTATTTGCTGAGGCAATTTCTTCTTGGATGCGAAACACAATGCTAGTATTTGGTACATGGCCTTACAACAATTTTCACATGTTTAGTTCCTTGCTTTTAAAAATTTATTGTAAGTATCCTCCAGATCTATTTTCTCTTTACTCTATAACTTCAGTATTTTCTAAGGTAGCTAGCAATCCTATGGCTTCCCATGCTCTTTGCCTCTAGAAAGCAAAACTTCCACATAAATTGTGTGGCGGAAAGACAGCCAGGTTTTTACTAACAAAACCTGAAATATCCTCTTTATTCACTAATAACTGTACCTGAAAAAGTATCTGGCTCTCAAGTCTTAATGTTGAAACTTGAGAACATTGAAACATTGCCGCCAGCATCTTATTTATAGAAATATTCAAAGTTTTACTGCTAAATTAAGAACACATATGATAAATCTACAAAATATGGGTGGAGAGAAGTATCTGGAATTCCCTGATTAAAATATTTTAGGTCAATATTTCAGCCCTCCCTCCTTATCACTTTTTGCACAACACTGACATAGCAAAGACCTGGGGCACCTATTTCATCTTTCAAAGTGATACTAATTGTTGGATGTGGGGATACAGAAATATAAACTTGTCTTTAGCAGAGAGAACTGCACTTTATAACACTACTTTCCAGTGCAGCATGGGCTTCAATTACAATTTGAAGAAAATTAAAAAAAAAAATACATTATTCTGTATTTTGAAGGCAAGGATCATATAGATAGTAACTGAACTCTGTCATATCTATTTTTCATAGCTAGGAGGTCTATAATAATTCAAATTATCCAATAAATACTTTGTCTTTTTAAACCATAGGTAACTTTTATTTTCTTTTAGAAAATTAAAAAATAATTAGACTGAAGGCTTGGGAAAGGATGAAAAAGTAACAGAAGCAAAATAATAATTTTCATACAAAAAATCTTAATAAAAAAATTCACAGAGTTTTAAGGCATTTGAAATATAATATGAAAATGAATACTGATTTTATATGACCAAATGTATAGAGCAAACTCCTGACATAAACTTCTGTATGACTTTCTGGTATCCTTAGAGACTTAAAAGAGGAACAGGATCTATACCATAGAGAAGAGTCTGTATTAGCTGAATTTTCCTCACAGGTCAACAGTTAATATTGAGTAGGGATAGGAGTGTTTCCCTTCAGTCTCCATGGTATTTTCTAAGAACTATTTTGAAATAGCACCGTCTTCATAAAAACAAACCAAAAAAAGGTCAACAAAAGAATAACAAGAAGACCTGGTTATTCTAATTCCTCCAAAGGCCCCTTCTTTCCTATCTAGCTCATCTTTATTTCCATTTCATTTACTTACA